GCCTTCCGTAAAAAAACAATCAAACCAATGAGTTGTAGATAAAGATGGCGTTTGACTATTTCTATTCCGAAAAAATGCCTTTTTATTTAAATGATTTCGTCTTATAAGAAGGCAGTAATTTGATAAGTATTGAACGACACAAATACACGCGTGACACAAATAACGGACTTGTTAGATAATAAACCTTCGCTATCACGCTTGCTTACAACCTTCAACCGCGTCCGTTATTTGTTCGTTGTCGGCCTAAGGACGTTAGTAATTTTAAGGCGGGTTGCATCCGATAGAAAACGTGTCACTCCGTTGCTACAGCAGCAGTTCTATTTCCGAGCGGCGTTGCGCGTGCATTGCCTTGCGCGCCCTCTGAGCGTATCTCACTCGGTCAAACTCCACGGGGGGGCGGGCGCCACGTGGCCTGCCGCCCCCGCCTTCGCCTCCACCGCCCCTTTGCTCCGTCGCGGTCGCCGAGAGCTCACGGTCTCTAGTGGGGAATACATCTCTCAGAATTATAGATCAAGTCCCCTCTATCAGACACGTTTTACAGGATAGAGTTCTACTCTGAGCAGATAGTTACTAAATGTTGAAATGGGTGACCTCAGCCAAAAGGTAGCGTGAAGATTTGCCCACTACCTTTCGAATATAATTTGAACTACACATACGGAATAAATTACCCAAGTAATTGAAGCACCCAGAAACAGTCATGGATCCTCACACTTTCTTTGATACATTAATTAATAGCTCTTACAAACAATGAAAACACTTTATTTGCACTCGTTTCTCTTTGAAGTTTCGCCTTGAATTCAAACAAATAGAGTTCATTTTTTTTACTCACTAATTTTCAGCGTGTACTACCGATGCTCACTTTTGGCCCAAAAAGTACACATTTAACAAACTTTTAATAATATATACAAGTTGTAAATTCAGTAAATACAGTATCTTCCGTAAACAATGGCACATCATGAACACGGCAAAATCAAAAATAAAACATCACAGCCTTCCATTGTTTTACTCATATCTAGCAATAATGGTACTTTTCATGGACATGAAAAACAACTTTTAAGTATCAAACCCAAAATAATTATTTCACCATTAGATACCCAAATGTAAGTAATTATACATTTGTATCCCAATACATATACCTACTATTAATAAGGTTCGTTATAAAACTGTTGACTTCAGAATATTAGGAGGCTGGTAGTTTATTTAGGAGAGGGGGGAGTTTATAATGCCTGGGGGGATGCTGATGGAGTCTGTCGCAGGCAGAGGGGAAAATAATTGTTCATTTGGGAAACAAAAATCACGACTGCTCTTAAAAACGTGGAACTATGGCGATGAGATCAAGTTTGATTGGTTCACTGCACGTGTTTTTGAAAGAACAGGAAATGAAAGATGCAAGATTCAGGTGAAGGATGAAACAGAAAAATAAATAAGTGATTAAGAGACAGCTGATAGATCTTGTCAAGACAGCGACCCCATTTGTAGATGCGACCACAGTTGACGCAGGCATAACAGTATGACGCACTCAATCCCTGTTTTTTTTTATTCAGAAACAACGAAACAAGAATTTATTATTTAAGGATACCAATACACCGAAAGCATACTTAACATATATTGGACTGGTGCTGCTAACTAGGAGCGGAGACCTCAACTGAGACCACGCTAGTGCAGCCGGAATAAAAAAAACATCAACTGGGGATTTAAAATCAACTCTCTGGGCTGGCATCTCTTGGAAAACAATTACAGGCCAATTATTTAACTACCGGATGCGGAGACGTGGTTGAAAAAGATTGATAACATCGAGGCAAAATTACGTTGTAAACTGATACATAATCGTCTCAGTTTCTGTAACTGTGACGAAGCAACGCTCGAGTAGGCGGATTTAGTTAGTTCCTGTGACGCGAATGCATCATATTCGCCACGTGTCTCTCTTACTCCCCCCTCCCACGCTTGGGAATTAATATAGGCACAGGCATGGGGGACATCGTTTGCTAGCCGGCAAAGTCGGACAACTGACGGAAATGCCAAATACATACACATATACATTGATTGAACATACTGGACCGGTGGAGCCAGGTTTGTGTCAGAGCCATGTGTGAAACATAAGTGGAAGGGGATGGCACTCATGGGGTAAAACGGGAGAAAAAAGTGTGATATGATCAGAAGCTTTGGATTAGCTGTGCGTGCCTTAATATTTTTAACTCTAGAACTTTGTTCGTATTCCCCAGTGACAAAACCAAGGAGGGGTTCCTACAAGTAAACCTCTCCTCCCGTAACAACTTTACAGAAAAAAGCACCTTTCCCCTATAGGAACTTAAGTAACAAATAATTTAATATACCCTTTTTGTTATAACATTCTCTAGTATCTACACGTAAAGGATAACTGGGGGATCCGATATCTTCGAATGTAGATGCTGTTAAGAATGGTAGCATCTGATACAATATTCTCGAACTCTACTGCGCAATTTCACCACACCTGCGATCCGGAATAACGTAGGTCAGCACTTTGCAAATTCTGAGTCCCAATGGTGTCCGAGGCAAGGTTGTTTTCACCCTGTTATTTTTTCGTATAAGGCAAAGGCATACTTTAACGGTGCCTTTATAATAATTGTATCCACTTTCATTAGCTGAGTTCTAAATTTACCAAACCGAGATCAATTTTGTAATAAGAGTTATTAGAACTAAAGTGTTCTCAATTTACGCCCTCCCGTTGACAACTATCAGCAGCTATCTGTCACCTTTCGTAGGATGAATCGTTAAATTTAAAACGAAAATTATAGTACTGAAACTTTTACAAATGGATAAAACGTACGGTGATACCTTATTTATATACTTGATTGACTATCAAACTCGGTCAAAGGTCTCATTTGGTAATTTTCAAACTCGTATTGTAATAACATGTCTTACGATACTTATTTTGTAGATAATTTATATACCATTTCAAAATTCCCGAGGAAAGTCAAATTTCCGTCATTTGTACTTGGTAGTCGACGTTTCGTTACGGTTATGGTATAAGATGATGATGCTGCAGCTATCTCGATATCTAATACGATACATCTCAGCCGTTAAATTGACAAACGCAGTTCAACGATACGACGCAACATCTATATAATGTACACTTAGGAATCCTATCCGTGACCGTCTCAAGGTAAATAGCGGCCCAAGAAAATTAAGCAATCGAGTAATATTAATAGGTATTATTATTATTATTATTTATCTTTTTTAATACAAAGTATGTCGGGGTTACTGCCCAAGACAAAATTTGTCTGTAGAATATTTATGGAGGTACAAGGAAGGTAAAGTCTACAGATGAAGCACTTCACAATTATTTTCTATTATTATTATTATTATTATTATTATTATTATTATTATTATTATTATTATTATTATTATTTTCATTTAAAGACCCACCTCAGGGTGGCGTCTCTGGTTCGATTTCCGGTCCAAAATGAAGCAGTAGCTTTCTAATTTAAATTGTTTGTTTATATTTGTGTGTGACGAAAGAAAAAGTTCAGGCAGGCCAAATTAGCAAGGAACGGTAATGATAAAACGGCAGACACATGTCCCATATACCCCCAGACGTGGATAATAAATAAAAACAGGTCCCAATCCTGTTTTTATTTATTAAACACTACTGCGGTCATCAAATGCCACACACACACACACACACACACACACACACACACACACACACACACACACACACACATCTTACATAAAATGCAACCCGTTGTTGTAGGTTGTAATTTGATAAAACGAACATCATCTCATATTTTTCCTGAAAAGGACTTACCACGTGCTTCCAGTTTTAGGAAAACTCACACGTACGAGATTAAAAAAAATCATTTGTAGTAATGGAATATTTTCTATTAATTTTCAACAAGAAATCATTTGACTTCGAACTTGTTTTATTGTTTTGGCATTGCGAAGCTAATGTATTAGTATTTGACGGTAACGCGAACCTTTCATCTTAAAAGTCATCCATGGTCGAGACAGGAGTAAACTATATTAAAATTAGTTGTTGAAATATCATAAAAATTTTTAATTGGCGAATACCTGAGGGTATCGAGTGAAAACACGTTCTTGTAAACGTCGCATCTAATTAAATTTCGCTAATGAAGCTAACATATTATTTGCGTCATTATGACATGCAACTGTTTCAGTATGCAATGCGTATGTGCAGATAGAACCACCTTCATGAGAAGGCTTGGAGCGCCTGCAATCACCGACATACGAATCAACGAAACGCAATAAAACGCATTGAACGTGACCGCATATTTAATGTTGAATTTCGAATTATATTTTATGAGTACGAAAAACTCAGGACTGTTGATGCAGGCCGAATCACTGCGAAATATTCTTTCGTGAATTGAGTGCTCGTGGTAACTCATTATTCTATGCAAATCATTCGATTAGTTTTAGGAAATTATTCAATAAGAGAAAGAAACGTAAGAGTGATTTCATGAATTTATTTTAAATACCTACTGGCAGCTGGACACTTAATTGCCTCAGGAAAACAAAGTCTGTGATTTCTGGTGGGACACCTTCGTCTCCTTAGGGAATCAGAATAATAATACCAGGTCGATATTTAAAAAGGAATATCTTATATTCCAATAATGGAAATAATTACAGCCTGACTTTAAAGACTATTTACAGACCACGCCCCCCTGACACATCAGTGAAACAAGCCAAAAATCTCTACTCTAGTCATGAGCACCGCTTTCATCTCGTTAGGGAAGCACAATAATAATGTCAGCTCGACATTGAAAACAAATATTACACATTTCAATAACGGAAATAATAACTCAGTTTAACAACTTCAAGACTATTAAAAGGCCCCTAATAGACCAAAATAGAACATGCAAAGAAATCGCCCCACATCAAGCCCCGAACACCGTATAGCACTGCCACGCGGTTGGCCCACGTAATCGATCGGACGAGCATTGCGCCTTGCGCTGCGCTGCGCGACGGCCGGCGGGGCGCGGCGGGGCGTGTGTATTTCGTACGCGTGGCTGCTCAGTGGGGCGGAGGCGAGCAGGCCCCTGCGTGTCCGCATCGGCGTCGGGAGTCTCGGCGCGGAGGCGGCGCCGGAGGCGCGGAGTGAGCTGCCCTTCGGCCAGTGGCGTGGATCTGGATGCCCCTGCTGGCCGCCGCACGACTGCGCTCTGCCCGCCCTCGCCCCGCCCCCCACCGCCGCCGCGCCGCGACCTCGCTCGCCCCGAGATAGCGGCCCCTCTCTGCTCGCCCGGCCGCGTCGGCGCGCCCGCGCCCGCCCGGCGCTCTCTCTTCCACGCCCGCACACGAGGGGGTGCGTTTTTCTGGACCCCAGGCGCCACGGGTCGTTCATGAGAGAGGATATACTGATGAATATTGTTTTGGAAATAATGCTTTTAACAGATGTTAAAAAATTGTTTAATATACTTATGAATTGCAGTGATTATTTTATTCTTCTGATATCACATTATAAGCGTGAATGGACCCAAGGAGTCAAGGAACGTTTAAGATATAACGTATGCTGTTTAAAATGCCATTGGAAAAGTGACTTCTAAGGGTATTTTTTTAAAATACATTGACTAGTGTAATTATGAACCGGTGTAGATATTTTATTTCACTGCAATCACATTAAAGGCGTGATATACTCTTTCGTACGTGTGCATGAAGTGGGCGTAGGAGCTATGTTACGGGCGATTGTCTGTCTTCATTTCCTAAGGACGCAGGACGTTCATGAAATACAATCGGTATAGTCGAAAATGCGTTTGGAATGAGGGCTTCTTACAATTTAAGAAAAAAAATAGATTGGGCTGTAATTGATGGATTGCTTAATTCATTTTCCTTGTGTGATCACGTTGTGGGTGTAAATGGACGTAGGTGTGCTTCGCGACTGTAGATGCGACGTTCGTTGAGGGCGATTTTCTGGTGCGTTGTTTCACGTGCTGAGGATGCCGAAATCAGACAGGAGAAAACACGTGGATTCCACGCCCGGCTGTAATTAGTTTACAGAGTTTAGTAGATTCGTGTGTATTCGTCGTCTGACAGCCGGTTTTCCCCCTCATCCACACCATATGGTATATTTTTTGCGGATTTGATGCGATGGACAGACCATCTGCAATGAATACCAGAATTCGAACGGTTAGGATTATTGCAGGGTTTTGTAGTGGCTTAAAAGCCTTAGATCTAGCTTCATATTGTCAGGTAATAAGTGGCCTACTAAATAAAAAATATTTGCTCTTTTCCCACCACAGACAGTTACCCTTTAAGCCTCGCGGGATTTATATTTTAACATGCACTAGTGCTAAATCATTGGTGGATCTGGAATCAGTAGAATACATGACCCTCTTACACACAAAATTCGTAAGTTTATATGTTACATATAAAATATCTAATTGAATGCATTAAGTCCTTCACATGTATATTACTATTAATTTTTGTTTAATATTAGATTTTATATTAATTCTTTGTGATTTCATCTGTCATATCTTTTTCCATACGTCGTTGTGTTTATTTCTGTAAGAAATGTTGACTTTCGCCCGACTTCAGTTACGTCTGTTGTTTCCGCAGTCTTTCCCTTTGTGAGCTCTTTCTTGATCAATCTATTTCTCCGCAATGACCAATTTCTCGCGAGTTTCTTCAATATTTCATTTGCTTCTTGTTACCTGTTGTCTTAAATTGTCATCAACGATAGAAATATATTTCAGACGATATATTAAGAATTTTTCTTCCTCCGATCTCACAATTTCGTTTCGACTGATTCTGCAGACTTCGAAGGTTTTTTTAATGATACGAAAATATTTCTGCCATGAATTCCTTACATCACTTTTTTTCTCCATCATTCTTGTTTTTGTATCCTTTCATTTCTAACAGTTTATCCTTTATTTTGTTCTTTCCCTTCACGATTACATGCAGCCACCCCTCATTTCACTTTGCTTCCATCTCCAGTTGCCTCACCCGCTTTTCTCGTGACCAATATTGAACATTCCTGGGAGTCGACAAGCATTTCCCCTCAAACCTACCCTCGTCTTCTCTACCTCCTCTCGTTCCCACCCCTCGCTCCCGTGACCCATTTCGATGCCATATCAGCTTTACGAAGATATAACCAGCTCAGCCATTGATTCCTAAGAGCATATGCTGAACAGAGATCATGGAGACTTACCGAGAAATGAGATAGAATTTAATTTGAATAAAACGAGAAGTCCTAACGAAGTTCTAACGAAGGCCTAACGACCTACACAACTTGAAATGAATTTCAATATCATTTTATTTCTTTGACAGGTGTGGAATGGTTTAAATTAATACGAATCGTTTGATATATATGTAAAAAGTGAATCAAATTGTTTATGTACGCGTTTATTTCGTAACAGAAACGCCACTAGTCACATGCTTCTATTTTTTTGTGTCAAATGTTTCCTTTGGCGGCGAACAGCACAGAAAAATGTGGTATACGTTGTAAAAGACCAGGAGTACGATTTAAAAATTACCCTCTTGGTTATGATGTATATTTTAGTTCCAGAACTTCAAAGCATAGTGCATGCTTGCTGGCATACAAAGTGATTGTCCATGCCTGCATTTTTTAAAGACGATTTAATAAATGATTCTTGCATGACAAACGTTTAATATTATTTTCCCTGAACGAGTACTCTAGAGACACTTAGCCTGAAATACCGTTTACTAGTTAGCCAATTACCTGCAACCTTATCATGTTCGCGAGAAATCTGCGTGCGGTAGCCAATCATATTAATTTCTTTTCATTTATATTTATAGCCGTCGAGTTTATTATCCAGGTGCACGTTTTTCACACAGAAGTTTACTATTCAGAATAGCAACTTGCGAGAGCAGAGCTAGTATAGAGTTCGACAACCCCACTTGTAGGGCGAACAGCGAGCTCCCTAGACAATCACCTGATAGGAAGGAAGGTAAATAGCAGCCAGAAAACGTGCAATTAGATAGATAGTAATATCGCTCTTTGAGTAAGTGTTTTTCGTAGCTCTTCTTCCATGCAGTGCCTAAACACGTTTTCTGTCTCATATCTTTAGATTCTGATATGCATTGGTGTTGCGTTGGCACAGTTTAAGTTTAGTAATTTAAGCTTCGAACACCAGGAGACTTCCGATTGAGGATTTTTTGCACATTACCCAGTACTGAGTCATGATAAAGGTTCTGCCTGAATGAGAATTCTATAGATTGCTCTGTTTGAATATTTACGGGTCTTCCTCCTATCAACTCCTGATGGATGTTGGAGTAATACCATCAACAACGGGGCACGGACAACTGGCAATACTTCCTTATCCATCCCGTTTTCGTCTACAACTTCCTTCATCAGGGAATTGTATTGACAGTTCTTCTTTATATGATACATACCCTTCAATTCAAAAGACTTCTATAGAGCAGAGAAGGTTCTAGAGCTAGGCGAAGATTCGAAAGCGACAAAAGAATAAACCAACGGACAGATTACATTTATACCATATAGTGAAAAATCTTGGGGGCAAAGCTTGTCTCTTGAGGCCTGGGAGAAGCATCTCTTACCAAGTCTCTTCTCTCCCCGATCGCTTTTCAACCAGTTGGCGAGTTGGTGGGCAACTTGGGAATTCTTTATTATATCCTTCTCCTTTTCGGTCATATTCGAGATGAATGATTTTGAAGGTTGGGTAATGATGGTATTGATATTTGAATGATGATGGATCAATAGTGATTGGAAAGGCAGGGGAATCAAGTCGTCTGGAAATTTTCTACTGGTGGTCTTTCCAAAATTGAAAAACGAACATTCCGCATTGTCATGTCAATTACAGCTTTTTCATTTTTTAACTAACGGTGAATGAATAATATGCACCCATTTTGCCTTTGACGGTTCTTTTGTAAGGCTTCTGAATGTTAACTCGAAAGTAGGCCTAAACCCAAAGCAACTGGGCTAATAAACATTCTTATATTTAAGAATATTCATTAATTTGAACATTTTAAAACGTCGAAATCAAAAACAGGGCACCTAAAACTGGATTGCAGTAATTATGTCCCTGGAAGGAACAAACGAATAATTTCCCATCAGGGGACGTCCAACTTTCTAGGGAATGGCCGATCTCTGTGAACTCGCACCCCGCTCACAGTCGATCGCCAAAAGGCCCGTGGTCGCAGGCGAGATCCGTCCGCTCGGCGCGGCGCGGCGTGCGAATAGAACGCCGCCTGGCCGCGGAGGCGCGCAGCCGAGAAAGCGGAGGAGGCGCGGCGGCGGCGGGGCGCGACGCAGTTCGTCGCGGCGCCTTTACGTAAGTGGCGGAGCGCGGCGAACGAGCGAGCGCGCGAGGCGGGAAACCCAAATGGGCGGCGCCGCGTGAAAGCGCCCGCTTGATGCCTCGCTCGCTCTTCCGGAAAACGCAGCGTTGGCCAACAGCCAATCAGCGGCTGCGGGCGGTATCGGGCGGCGGTTACACATTAACAGGTAGCTATTCTGACTGGCTATTAGTGTGGGGTATTAATAAGATGGTGTTTGGACATTTGAATGACCGGACGCGTTTTTCCCCGTCCGAAATTTTAACAGTTTCGAGATTGTGTCTTACGTAAATCATACATTTCTGACACACTATCGTCCACTCAGATTATAGAAAAATTGAATTGTAATTATATGACATTTTGGTTGGAACATTTACTTAGGAAAGTTTTTGATATTAATATGATTTTTTAAAAAAATATTTAACAGGTATACAATGAAATGAATTTCTTTTCTGTGTCAATATGACATTTTATATGAATGCAGAATTTAATATATTTTTCATTTATCTCTATCATATCAGTCCTCTTCTTTCAAACCATGTTTTTCTCAGAAATTTATAAATTTCTTCAATCCATTTATTATTAAAATTAGTAGTAATGGATTCTAACTTCTATGACGGTCGTTTCCAAATGCGCTTAATTTCTGTAACTTTACTATTCAAATACGTCAGAACGTTTTAAGCGCGGGTAACATATTGTGTATTAATTGTGGATAATTGTAAAGTTTAGAAATAATTTAATGTAATTAGTGCTGCGCAATTTTAGCTAAATATTTTACATTTGGTGTCCTTAGAGGAGGTCCAACAGGTGAAATACTGTTAGGGAATTTAGGTCATTTGTATTTATTGGTGTCTAGTTTTATAACTGTTCTTACGAAAAACGTGTAATAGTCGTGGACATTTAAAGTTGTGCAAAACATCCAATTTTTAGAGATGTTTTCAACGCAACTAGAAAGCGGTTATTGTGTTTTTTTTAATATTACTTTGGCATCGAGAATCTTATGTTTTTCGTATGTAACATTTATCATTGTGTCGCGAGGTTTGAGTAAATTCAGAGCAACATACAAATGCCTATTTTCGCCTTGTCTTTGAGTTCGAAAGTGAGTCTTTTGTTACTCGACTGCGAAAACATCAAGAACGAGGAGATACCCTTTGCGTAGGATGAGTTAATAAATAATAGAGAAGACGCTACGACTAGATCCAGAGATGTGGTCATTGTTTACGTTGCTATAATAGCTTCCCCTGAGGATTCTGGAACAAAGCAATCTCAGGGTAACGAACAAATTAAGCAAAGAAACTCAATTTTCCTGACTACTCCACGTTATCTCCAAATAAAATTTAACATATTTACGAATACTTATGATAATTCATAATTATTTACATTTTTTAAAGACATTTGAAATTATGCCTTTGTATTAAAATGAGATTCACTGAGGCTCAGAAACGTCGTCATGGAGAATGTCTATGAACACAGAGTAAGCCATCTCGGTACAGAAGCGTAGAAAAGAGGACAATGTCGCATGTTGTCGAGTACGAACGTCACGAAACAAGTGAGAGAGAAAACCAACTGCTGCCTGTCTCTACAAGTGAGTGGAGCGTAGAAATGGACAAGGTAAGCAATGAGCAATGAGCTGTGTCTCATCGCTGTGTCGTCCCTTCAACTCTCACTAGCTCTGCGGCATCAACCAACAGCTCCAGAGAGCACTTCTGATGCCAACATCAAAAAGAGGTTTCTCTTGACTCAGAAAGGGAGAGTCACTTGAAAATAATTATTAGACACTACGGTTTCTCGTAAATTTCTCGAGTACTGCTCTACATAAAGCATCAGTATTTGGGTCAGAGGCTCAACTAGAGTTCAGAGTTCTATTTTCTGTTCTTTGAGGGAATACTCTGTATTGGCCACTTTGATGAGGAAGGAACCTGTGTGTGGTTCAGAAGCTATTTTTCAGTTTCATGAAAAAAACATTAATTATGTATTTATTTCTCTTCTAATGCTTTTAAATTTTGCCGAAATTTTATTATTAATAACTTACAATTTCTTTTCTGCCTTCTGCAACTGCGAACTCTGATATCGAGAAAAAATATCCGAGTTTGCCACCACCCACCCATCGGCATTCTCTTGAGCATTATTGGTAGAATCTCCCAAAAATACATAATAGTTAAAGCGCAGTGCAAGGTTTGTGGCGTTGGTAGTCGAACTGCTTAACGAGGTGAACTCACAGAGTTTAAGTAGCTCGAGACCCCGAAGGCCCCTGTATGAGTGATAGGGAACCCTGGATACAAACGACGCCCAGCCCCCGCACGGTAGAAATAAAACGCAATGACATTATCAATTGACTTTGCTAAAGGAGAATTACTCCATGTTTAATGACATTACTACGTTCAAGGAAAATTCCTATTTTGGAAAATTGTTCGGAGAGTAACAAATAGTGCACATATAATTTTGCGCGCCCCAAGCAGTGGAGCGAATAAACAACCTTGGCGCGTGTGGGCCCTGAATGGTAGGGAAAACTGGTCAATGAGGGTTTCGATTGTACTATCATACAGACGACTTACTTTGGCTCTGTGGTATTACTTTGAAACGAACGCGAGACTGTAGCTTTGCCTGCTAGCATTGTCTGTAGACCGAAGATTCATAGTAATGGGTAATTTTAAAAGAAATATATTGTCATATTTATACACTTGGAAATACTATACGAAGGGAAATAAAAAAAATGAATATATTTTGGGGCTATTAATGTTGTGCCAGATCATGTCTCGTTTATAGAAGGGGAATTCATTTCAGTTTTGAGCCGCCTTTGGAACCTTAGTTGAAATATTACAAAAAAAAAATCAGTCATTTATCATTTTAAATAGGAAAATAATGTTTTAAACCCGCAAACGTTTAATATTTTTTGCCATTCAACACATTTTTACAAGATGCGACTACTCATTCACGTTAAAAACATGATCTGAGATGCTTTCTTTGAGTAAGTGATGTCACTACCTTTCACTTACTTTCCCTGCATTACTTTCTTCCGTATGGATTCAATGCCGAAGGTACGGAACCTTTTCCTTTCACCTGCATAAGACTCCTCCTCCCTGCAGCGAACTCAGAAGGTCATTTCGTTTTGGAAGCATATTTTATTGCCTTCAGAAGAAAAACTGAGATGATACGTCTAACTTCCGGTGAGGAAATGAGAGCATTTGCAGAGACAAGAGCAATTATTAAATTAAATCCCGAGAATTATTTCAATTTGTTATAATCGGTTTTGTGCTTGACGCCAAGGTTAACTAAGCTTGCAAGTGCTTTCAGATTCACACTAGTTAAGTGGTACTTCTTTGGACATGCGTACCTAAGGAGCCCAGTTGAAAACATCTGTTAATAGAGTCAGCAATGACTGGTTTTGTCACGTGGCGGTAACATGAAAGTTCACGCTAGTCCATCACATTTATCAATACTTGATTCAAATCAACTATTCATTCATTTAATCACAACCGGCAACTTTTTTAACAGGAGTATTGATAAAGGGGAAGAGTCTCCTAGATACCAAAGGGGTTTGTCCGTCTGTTGCGAATGCACGTAATACAACCCGTTCATGGCCTTTTAACATTAATCAAAATAATAAATTAACAGATTTTGTAATGGAAATTTAAAATGTTAATTTTAAAAATGTCGCATTCCTAAAAAATGGCAATTAAATGCTTTTATTACATATTATGTGCAAAATGCTATTTTAGCAAAGTATTACATTAAAATGAGTTATCTTCTTTCAGAGCTGCAAAAGAATGTTGGATAAAATATATTGAAAGAATTGGCTGTTTATTAAATTCAAATAGTTCATACGGTATAAAAACCGTCTAAATGAAAATAAAACATCGTAAATCAACATCTTTTAGACAGTAAAGCATCTTCGGAAAACTGATGTACCATACTTGGTAACATTTTCGAATTTGAGAATAAATGAAGCTGAGTTCTGTTTTTCTGAGATACACTTAACCACCAGTTTCTGTCTTACTGCGGTGTATATTCATTATGATGCTTCATTACGATGCCTTATGACCATGCCTAGAATGTGCGAATGATTCTTTGGATAGTAGATTGTGAAGATACAATATGAATGATTATGAAGAACCAATGGAAGGAGAGGTAAGGGAAAAGGAGAACCTTTCGTAACTCGAACTTACCGCAAAGCTGCTTACTTATTTGATTATTTCGTGTTTCCGGGCGCTTCAATTGCTAACATCACTATCTCTGTGAGGGAAATGCATGTTTTTTACATGGGATGTGGCAGCATTCTTCCTCTACTGGATGGAGAGATCCGGCACCCACCTACAAATCGACTTGGGACGTTTACCCATCTAGGTATCTGTCACCAGCGGGGGCACCGCTCCAGTCGGGATATTCTCAATGCTCATGACTCCCTTCCCCCGAAATGTGTGGTAAAGTATTGCACAGAGGAGTGAGTTGGTATAATTAAAGGGTCAAGGAAGATGATGGAAAGATCGCGCGAGGACCGTGGCCCGTTTGTTAGGGTACTGCTCCTGCATTCGCCTGTTGTTGATCGGAGAAACCACGGGAAACTACCGATCAGAGCAGCCGGCCGCTAGAATTTTCCTTCAGACTGCGACTGAATTTAACATAGCTATCTAGATGGTGTCTGTCTAATCATATCCCCGTCAACACTCGATCCCTGGTTTCCCGGTCAGAGGCACAGCAGCGACATTAATTGATGCCCTGACCCTCATAAGCCGGTTCAAACCTGTTCTTTCCGCCACAAATTCCACACGGTTCGAACGGGTTTCGATCTCAAGTACCCAGAGTGCAAGGCGAGTAGTCTAAGCGCTAAATCAGGCGTCGAAATCCACGCTTTATACGTACGCCCGAGAACCGCCCGACACAAGCAAAGCAATTGTTCGATGCGGCATCTGCCTGCGTTCGCCCGCGCATCCGGCTGCTGTCGCCGCTGCAGCCGCTCCGGTTGGAAGCGCGGGGCATCTGGCCAAGGGCACCTTCCTCGACGGCTGATAAGAGGCCCCGCGGCCTCGGCGGGCGGCGTCTGCGGCTGTGTTGACGCACGACGCACGGCCCCGCGTCGGGGCGGCGCCGACGCCCAGAGACGACGCCGCGCGTCGGGAGGCGTGTGCAATGCGATTTGTCGCAGGTAGCATTATCAGGGAGACTGCGACGATTGCTCCTGTTTCTTTAGGTCGAGATAGGGGACTAACAGCCACGCCCACTTCAAGTACCTGCCCCGCCCACATGTCGTTCTTTCCTTCCTCATTTCCTGCTTCTTCCTTTTCTTCTTTTATCTCCATTCCCTCTTCTTTCTCATCTTCCTCTTTTTTCCTCTTCTCTTTTCTCCTTATCCACGTCTTATTTCGCCTTCTTCTTCCTCTACTGGCGTTATTTTGTCCTGTTCGTTTTTTGGTGTTAAAGTTGTGCAATTTAAGTCCAGCTGAACTCATTTGCGTGTACTAGGGATCAGCCCATTGCCCGGCCCTGAAGATGGAATTGGAGGCAGATTAGGGAGAAACAATTGTTTGGTGTTTAAGAAATTTCTTCGGTCAGAGTAGCAGAAATAGTCTAAAATTGTCATTCAGACATTGGATTCGTCAGACGTGCTGTAAATCTGGTGGCAAGTATCCATCGCCGTCGGGAGGTTATAGCGACAGCTTACATCTTTCTTTGCTCATTACCAGTAGTCGAAGGTGGTGTTCAATTAGCATATTATGTTAGGCCCAAGCCAATTGCCAAGCTCTAAAATACTGCCGATATCACGAAAGTTGAGTATTAAAATTCGAGCTAATTATGAATAATCATGTGCTGTGGTTTCCACATAAAATATCAAATAACTTCTTGAAATTGAACTTCCAAAGAATGATCTTCAAGGAAGAACTTAGTGATATCAAACACCTCAGATGATATTGTATAAGGGAAATTAGAGAAGCTAGCTTTAATTTTATTTAACTGGAATTATCCATCATAATTGTAGAAGAGTTTTGTTCGTGTATAAATTCCCAACATGTGACGACCATGTAAAGACGTTTCTAATCGTGTGACTGCATCAAAATACCAAGTCCACTGCCCCTATTGTTTTGTGAGCTGAAAAGGTTTAAGGATGTACCCAGCAGAAAAACCACGTTTATTATTCACTTTGTCCTTAAAGTGCTGACATTCTTTTGTACATCATAGTCGTGCGACAAGATGAATTAAGCTTATTTTAATTTGACGAATTGTTATTTCAAGAGGAGACACAAGTTAATTTTTATTAGAATAATATGATTTCACGAAACACTTCATTTCTCGAAATACAACTTACTATTGGGTGTTTCAGTTATATCGACTTTTTCAGTGTTTGAAACAAGAAAATATTTCGTTCTTTTAAACTTTATTGAGCCGCTGGCGTTCGCAAATTTCCTTTTAGATAAGTTGTTTAATGTCACTTCACACATATTGAGATCCGTAAATATTGCGGAAATTATATTATTAAATGCCAAACTACGACACGAGTCAGTACTATTGACTCCGTTATAAGTGCAAAAGGAACGATGTGATTGTGAGAATACTGTACCCACTCTGTAATTTTTTTTAATGGAAAGACTAAGAAAGCTACTATTAAAACAGTTCTTCTCTAGAAATACGATCCATTTGATAAATAAAGCCATTAGCTAACTTTTACTTCTCGCATCTGAAACAAAGAAATCTGCACATTTTTTGCATCTGCAAATTAAGTTTATTCTCATTTAAGAGTTAATTCTCCTTTCTTGATAAAGAATATGTAAATCGAAATTACCAAGACATATTAATTTTCTGCTTTATTTGATTCTTTCTCTCTTCTCATTGATTATTTCTAAAAATGAGTTTTACTAATATCGTGAAATATTGAAAAGCATACGTTTTTACTTTCTCGCTCTTACTTCGTAAGAAGAGAGTCATGTAATCGCGAGCCGGAAAACGGCGAATTTTCGGTAGAAAATCTCTTATTGCCAGGCCCAGAAAGTGGATAAGTCCTGTTCTTGAACAGAGTAAATTATTTCCTCTAACACATGGGGTAGACTGAATCAATGTTTTGTGGGTCCTGGTCATCGTAAAATCGATTGACGGCAAAATTCTTTTGGTCTTCTGTGGTCGACGCGCCTAACCATTTAGCCGATTTTCTCGAAAATTGATATTCCCTGATCGATCTGAATGAACTCAAGATTTTAAGAATTTAAAAGAGATTTTGATTTTTGAGGTTACTTTACGTGAAGTCTCAAAAACATTTTCAACATCTTCTCAAAAATGGCTCCACTTTTTTGATTACATTTTGTCCACGGTTGGCGTAAAGGACATTTAATGGTGCAGGTCTAATATTCATATCATTGATTTTTCCAAAATTGCAAAGGTGCAAGCTTTTTGGAGGGAGTATTGAAGACAGATTTTTTCTTAATGAAATTTATTTTTTAAAGACAGATTTTGAAAAAGTGTCAGGTTAGATTTTTTCGAAAATGTGAGTAGTTTTTTGGATATTTTTAGCGAAATTAAGAATTTTTTAAAAACATTTTTACTCAAAAATAGCTACAAATTTTTATTAAAATGTTTTCCACGGATAGAAGAAGGGACTGGGTTAATTACACGTATTTTAGGTGTAATCTTATCAGAAGAATGCATTGTTCACAAGCACTTCTTATCATAGAGAAAATCTTATCTAAGATTTCTTAATAGCTGTATGTTAAGCTTGATGAATATGGCAGTTGCGTGACCTGGACAAATTTGGAACGAAATAATTTGAATGGAGACCTTCCGACCGATAAAAAAGGACTTCAATCTCTAATCATGATAGGTGTACTGAAAAACGTTTGGTATAAGTATACGTATGTTCTCGATGGGATCCAAGTCCCTTCATCATTTAAGATTTCTTGTTAGGCACAATAGATTCAAAAGTGTTAATCAGTGACTGCAGATAGAGGTTATAGAGGTTTCAGATGATATTTAGTTCTGACGTCGATCATCTTTAAAAATAAAATTGTAAGGATTGACACAAAGCACATTGAGAAGAACGCGAGATTATTAAAATGAATTATTGGAGTGATAAATTAAAAGTAAAGCTGTGCATTTTGACGGTAAACGGAGAGCCTACAGTGATCAAATATCAAGGGCCAACACCCTTAATTTTTATCATTCAATTATTCTCATAATTGGCTAATTTTTAATTAAAGAATAATCCATGTAAATAATATTTATTTAACTAAAACGTTTGAAATACCCTATCTCTAATTCTAGCAAACATAAATTGGTTTCTTGCGAACTTTCTCCAATTTGTGGAGTGGCAAAACAATAGGAAGTATTCTAGCCTTGGCACTAGATACCCAGCGTTTGTAAAATGAATGCGAATAATATCTCGATGCTACTTATCGACCACGCCCCCACTTTGTTTAACATGACCGAGTGCCGAAATAAAATATCACATGACTAAACTAGATCCAGGAAGAATTTCAGGGAAGGGTACTTTTATTTCGGACCCCTCATACGTTTATTTGAAATAATGTTTTTATAGTTGTTAGCATGAAATAAAAATAAAGACCAGTATATTCGTAATTGAAATACTGATTTGAATGTCATGATATCGATCTATATAGAGTAATTATTTAGAATAAATTGAGTGAAAAAAATGATTTGGTCCCTGTGTCCTTTTTGATTCACCACTGGACTATTCCGAGTATACTTCTTACGTTTTCATCCCGAAAACGTCTATGCCGTATCGAAAACATGAAAACCTTCAGTTAAAATGAACTCAAAATTGCGCTTTTCAAACACTTTCAAACGACATTTTCTCAAAAACAAGCTCCACATGTTCAGTGAAAATTTGCTTTGAGGTTCGTATTTCACTCCTCTATAATATTCTTAAAGTAGTATTTCAATTCTGCTAACTGGGGACCTAAAAGTTGAGAGCATGTGAAAAAATGTATTTTAGACGCCAATAAGTAGTAGCAATAGGGAAAAGCTGGCCTAGCCTAGAGATTAAAACACTATTTTATAAAAGTCTGATATTCTGTAGCATCAACTGTACTGATTTTAATGTAATCTCCGTTCATTTCCCAATTACTTTTCAAAATTATTGTATTTTTTTATTCTTTAAAAAAAGTTTAAATATTTTTTTTTAATTGTTTGCTCCTGTCTGCCATACGATTTTTGCGCGGGGTCTCGTCAAGCCTCGTCGTGGCGGCAACGTACGCGAGCACTTGCGTCGTGGCCCTGAATGGGAGTTTCTCCGCTGCGCGCGACCTCCTTTGTCTTCATGCGCAGAACCTGGTCTCTCGCAGCTCGTACGTTCACTTTCCCTCGCTCTGCACCTTCCCACGCGCCGCGCGACGAGGAAGGTCAGGGGATGGGGCGGACGGTGGGTTGAAAGGCGATTTGTCGGCTTCACTGCAATGTCAATATCATCGATACAAGTACAGCATTTGGATGAATTTAGGTTGGTTAGGTAATTGATATTTTAATTGTGATTTATCGGTGCAATGGTGCATTTCTTGGTACTCGTTACAGCAGGCCTACACAACACGTGCTCCCGCGGGCATTTTGCACTTAAGAGCCAGCCGTCTGCATGCGAGAGTGGCGGAAGTGCAAGTGGTGGGGAGTAGGCAGCTTTGCGGGGAGGGGAGAAGGCAGGGGGAGGTCGACGCGGCCTGTAGATCTGGGCGTCTAATGTAATGATCCATGCTATGAAATTATTTTCCCGCTTATTTAAATGGGCAATCTACCGTATTTCTTGCTGCAAAAGCCATATTTCACTGTTTATGTTCTGTGCACTGCTATGTATCGACATATTTTAAAAAAAAGTTTATGCTCATTGTAACTTGTAAATTTTAAATCAATGGCCTATTTTATAATATATTATGTAACTTTAACTAATAAAAATTGACAATTTAATAATTTATTTTTTACTAAGAAGTTATAATCTTCAAATAATGGCTTAACGGAGGAAATTCACGGCAGTCTCTCACACCCAGATTGATATAAAAATGAAATACAGGTAATTCTAAGAAGGATAATATTTGGCAGCACCTATTTTATGGGCAAATATGAAATGACTTTGAGTCTTGTGAAATAGAACACAAAGTGCTTTATCTGTTTTGTCGATGTCGATGTCGTAAATGATTATGAATAAAGTAGTGTACGTTGATTTGAAATTAGAAATATATAATGTACTCTAATCGGAAATTAGATAATTAGAGCAGAAAGTAACCATGATTTTTAAGAATTTTTTTTAGATTCAATAAAACCATCTTATTCAAATACACACAGGTAATGAAAAAAATAATTTATTACTGTCATCATCAAACGAAAAAGTTCAATATTACAATTATGTATTTAGCGGCACGCAAAATTTTCGATTACATCGTAGCAAAGCGAATTACATTCTCTGCCCTATTAGCAATTAAAATACTTAAGGTATCCAAATCTAATATGTGTGTCTAATTCG